TTCCCTGCTGGAATCGGTCCAACAGTCAGGCTGAGGCTGGTCACTGCACAGTGGCCCTTTTTCAGAATTAGCACGCATAAATTCAAAATATTTTTTCTCTTCTTTTGAGTAAAAAGCAGTCTAATCGTGTGCAAAACATTCCAAACTATCCGATGGTGCCATTTTTACCTCCTAAGAAAATAATTATCTTTGGTAAAACTGACCGCAAAATCGAAGTTTGTCGAGAGGCGCGCGGACACCAACGGCGGACCCTAAGAAGTAGGGTGAGATGAACATCAATTTGTAAGACTTTCGATGAGAAAATATTAAAAAATAGTGGCATGGCTGTGAAGCTGAGTTTACGTAGAAGCCCTAGAAACCACTATTTTCATTGTATAAACTTGAATAGACCTTTTTTGCCGAATATTTTGGACACAATAACAGGACAATTACTGGAGATGGCGGCATACATATGAAGCTTTATGTTAAGTAGCACACTCTGGAACATATCGTATTATACATCGTTCGAATCGCCGATCTCTTCTGACCATGTCCACCAAAGGGCATCGCGCCATTTTGCGCCATTTTGCCTCTACGGTGGATAACGTGAGCCAGTTCAGTCCGCGAGCGGCTGTGGCTCCTAGGTTCGATACGACTACTAGTAAGCTCATTGACCTGGCTCGAAGCTGGTGTCACCTGGTGTGCGCCTAAATGTGGCTTGACTTTTGCCATACGATGTGCTAATTGAAATGTCATGTAGGCATAACGCTGTGTCCAAGAAAAACTGTCCGATTTCTTGTCGCGTTTGATGTCCAAGCCGCACAAGTCCCGTGGTCGGCTAAGATCTAACGTCTAAAGCGCCTATGTGTTTGTATTGTTCACGTCGCGCTGACCTTAGTTGCTGCCCGGCCGGGGCCGACTAACGGTTGCTGGCAACAGCTGTAGATGCGGTCACGTGACGCCCTGGGGCGTCCTGGCGGTCAGTGCAGCGCGCTCGGCTGGCGGGCTCGCCACACTTGCGTTTGGAGCGGCCTGGGCCGGCGGGCGAGCCGTGCGAACGTAGGTACGCCAAATCTTGGGCCGAGCGGCCTGTCGCTGTTGGGCCGAATCTCCTTGGGCAGTTCGTTTCTTTTCTTCTCTTTGCATTGGCAGGGGATACGTCCTTGATCACGTGGTGATGTCTTGCACCACTTTAAGGTAATGTGGGAATTAATGCGTGCTAATTCTGAAAAAGGGCCACTGTGCACTGGTCAGACGGCCCGATTTAAGTCGACAGGGCAAACCGGCTTGAGACGCTTATGAGACCGACATTGTAAGAATCTGCCGAAGAGTCAAGAGATGAACGTATCCATGAAGACGAAACTGACAAGTGTTTTTACCTACCTAGAAAAAAAAACGAATCGGCTGATAAACAGCATGGCCCTTTCGGTCACGTCATGACGTTGACCTTAGGTCAAATTTTCAACAGTTGACCTGAAAAGGTTCAATTATGAAAATTTGATTGGTCGCGATGATATAAACGTTTTGATTACCTATAAACCAATGTCGCCCAGCCTTTGCATAACAATCATTTCAGAAAACATTTACAAGAAAAGACGTTTCAAAAGAAGCGCCTATTTTGACATAATTTACCCAACGAACGCTAAAGGCCGAACCTGAATATGTTCCGATCGGTCCGCTGCCACAGCGCTGACAAGTTTGTCGCCGCTCGCCTCACTCCTCAGCTCCTCTCGGGTGTCACCAAATGTTTTATACGAAACGTTGTGTTATAGCCATGGCTTGGGCATTGCTTTCAAACAAGCGAGCCAAAATATCTCTGTTCCGGTACCGGTGCTTTTTAGTGCCTGGGACTTGACCTGGCTGTGCTGCTATGGTTATACAACGGTGGAGCGGATGATTGCCGACTGGTTTAGGTATCATCCTGTCGGGCCTGAGACGGCAGTCGAAAACGGCAAAAATGCGGTCGGTTCTTTGCCCAGTCGCCCGCGCTGGCTAAAGCCGGATAGTTCTGGAGCTGACTTAGGAAAGACCTAAACTTTATAGGTACCGCTATCATGGTGACATTTAAGTACGAGATTATAACTGTTCCTATAAGATGTTTTTTTTTAGAAACGAACTTCTAGAGGAATACATAAGGTTGAATTAGGTATTCCTTACTGAACGAAAAAAAAAACATAACTTAGTGAATTATCTTAGTAAACACTCTCGCTCTTTCTTAGGTCTACCTAAGTGAGTGTCATCGCGTCAAGTCAAAAAGACGGTCCAAATATCTTTCTCATTCAGATAGTAGTTTGGCAGGATTTACAATATAGTGTATATAGTAATCGCAATCGTAATCGTGTATTTACGAAAATCTCCACACGGTGGCTGTATATATAACAGAACTCCAGCAAATAAACGGTGACCATTCCTGCTATGCAGCGATAGGTTAGATGTACTCATAAAATTCCACACTCACATGCGACGCGGACCACACAGGTAGGTATAGCGTTTTTTTTTTTTTTTTAGAGGAGGTGCATGCTCTAGAGAGAAATATCACCGAGCAGTCAATCACACGTGCAACATACCTATGCAGTCTTAAACTGCTTCTCTGCATGTTGCAGTCTGACTTGCAGCTCAACTTGCAGCAGTGCAGCTGTGCAGCCAGTCAACAGCCAAAATGCCAAAATGGGCCTACCAGTGTTAACCCTCGCACGACCAGGCCATTTCTCATAACACGAACGACCAGGGGGGGGGGTTGTTACGACCCCCCCCCCTGGCGTTTCGAAACGGAAGGTCGAAGAGCTTAGCGGAAAAAACCAACGGATTGCTCTCAACGAGATCTCGCGATTGGTGGTATATTTTTTGGTCCTAGGTCAACATTTGACCTACTTTTGACCGGTCAAAGGTCAAATTTTCGGAAAAATAGACTTTTTTCAACTTTCGGCGGCGATTGCGGCAAAACGGTGGGAGATATCGACTTGAAACCTTCACTATCGTGTTCCTTGATCAATTCTCTATCGTTTGGTATGTATTTCGTTTCCCTAGCTCTAAAAATGGCGCGTTGGGAGCGCCGGAAGTCGGCAAGGTCACAGTCGGCGGCAGAAATTCGAAAAATCAAAATTTAAATTTTTGAAATCTGATTGTATTTTTGGATTTGGGAGGTCCATTTGCTCCCTATAGAAGCTAATATTGCTGCATATTTCCATTGAGGTGACAAGAATTAGCAAAGTAGTGGTTCGGGCGCTTTTCAAAAATAGTACCGGACGCTGTTCCTCTTGTGACGTCATAGCTCCGTGACCTGACCTGACCCGGTCAAATTTCTTATACCATATGATAGCCAATACTTGCCCCAACATGCATGGGAAGTTTCATCACGATCCATCAACCGATGTTCGTACCACCGGCAGGAAACCTCGGGCGTTGGCACTCAGTTTGTGAAAATCCGGCCGGAGGCTGTACCTCTTATGACGTCATAACTCCGTGACCTGACATGACCCGATCAATTTTTTTTCGGCAAAAGATGCGCAAAGGTTGCCCCAGAGGGTATTGAAAATTTCAGCCCGCTACGACAAGCCGTTTAGCGTGCACTTCGAAAAAACCTCAGGGGGGGGTTGATACAACCCCCCCCCCCCCTAGGCGTTCTAGGGTTAAATCCTCACGCCTCTACATGGGAAGTGCCTGAGGTGCCCGTAAGATATTGCTAACCGCTGCGAGGCAGTCAGGCTCTCGGTACGGGAAAAGCCCTGAACTGGACGACCTCATGCGTTATTCAGAAGGCCAGCAGCGGCCGGCGGCGGACCGGCCCTGCCCCGTGGCTGAACTTGACCCGCTTATCAGAGCCGGCAAACAAACGCATTATCCTTGTCGGCATGACCGGGCACGCCCAGCTCCGACAAAAAACGACACGTGCATGCCTTCGGTGCCCAAAATAAGGTCATGCAGTACGCTGAGAAAGTGAAAGCGTCGTCCTCCCCGTTCGAGCTCGCTCGAACGGGGAGGATCTTCAATCCTCCCAACTTCAATGAGCATGCTTCATTGAAGCCTCATTCGGCGAGGAATCATAATTTGTTTTCACCTGGGAGATGCTCTTATTGTTAATCGAAACGGGAGCGTTGTTGCATAAAATGTGGAATGGTCGGAAGCAGTTACCTCTGCATTATATTTTCAAATGAAATATCAATTTTAAAGCAGCAAGAATGCAAAGCCACGAAATAAGTATACGCAAAGGTATAAAATAAATGCTTGTGTTAAATCTAAATAGTAGGCGATTGTTTACTCCTATTGCTATACATTTTAAACCTAATGTGTCTTTCGTATCAATAAGCCAGTAACAGGCAGACCAGATTGTGTCTATATCCGATGCAGGATCCCGCCGCCGTTTGAGCCGGTTGCCAAGTCTACGTTGAATGGCGGCTCTCAATTACGTAATGAAATCTCTAGCGCTGCGCCGACGGGACATAAATATCATTTAAAAGCAATAAAAAAACAATAAGCCACGTAAGACCATAGTGTAATGAACAACTTTATTTAACGTTATTAGCGTTATTATATAAACGTTATTATAACGTTGTTTATTACACTATGGTAAGACTATAGCAATGCAGTGCCAAACCAAACATACGAATTGAAGTGAAGAGAAGCATATAAATTGTTCTGACTCGATACGACCACAATGAATTTTAACGGCGTTTAAAAGCAGAGTGGATCGCAAATAACCAATCGGACGAAATATTGCCTAACACAATATTTTCGGCTAGTGACTACCAAATGAATATACGCACACCAGAGAGACGCATTCTGTAACCTAACTTATAGTTAGCCTCCATTGACCGCATGATACGTACTTGCATCCTTACGTATAGCATTATATCGGTACCGCAACATTATCAACGTGAATATTGAAATCACCGTACAGCCCGAGTCGATGAGTGAGCTTTTCAGAACAATTAAATATACCGGAAGGTAGGTAAACGTTAGTATAATTAACAATAAGGTAAGAATCATTCCAGCACGTTGGCACACCACAACACGTCACCTACCTTTGCTGTTATTGCCTTGAGATACGGTGCCAACAATCCCTTCCAACCCGACCGAAGACGTGGCAACTGAAGCCGTGTCTTCCCTCACAGTATCCACCCACTCCGCGGAAACGTGACCACTCAGCCGCCACCCGTGCGACCGACAGATACCGCCGTCTATCTATTTCCACCGGCACGTGCCCGGTGACGTCACCAGTCGCGTGCCGTCGGTGCCAGACAGGTCAGTCGGGTCCGCGCACCACCCCGGGCCACTCACCTCTGAGCATTGTAAAACACCGGTCCGTGCCGCTGGGTGGACTGTTCGACGCTGGATAACTGACCGCGGCTCTCGCGGAGTGACTTTCACTGAAGACCGATCACCGGCGACTGGGCGGATGGCGGCGGCGGTGGCGGCGGCCGAGGCGGCGGCGGCGGCTGCGGATGACGTCAGCCGTGTCCCTGGCCGGCAGCTGCCTGGGCCGGTGGTCGCAGGATCGACTGCACAGCGGATAGGCGATAACGAATCCGAATGATAGGCGATAATGAATCCGATTAGATCGAGTGATAATGACTGGATGATCCGATTGTCTGCAATAGGTTAGCGTCTGACCTTACAATTATGATTTGTTCCGGATTCAGTGTGGATTGTGATGTGTAAAATCAAAATCTATAAGGTCTGAAAGGGAGCAATAACCGATATCCGTTTTTAACGTGAAGCTCTAGATGGTTCATAGCGTGATTTTACGCACTGTGTAGGTAACTATTATTCCACTACGTGATATTTATGCCTACATAGTGCGTGAACGTGTCGTTTTATTAGCCGTTTTCATGCGGCGGTATAGTCTGGTACACATTTGGTGCACATTTGGTGCAGATTAGGTGCATATTTGGTCAAATTAGGTTCAGTGCATCTCTTAGTAGCTATAAGCAAGGGTTGCACTAATTACTTAAATGCCTGCTTTGTAATATTATCAGAGAGTAGGTATCATTGTGATTGATTAAAACAGTGAAATAAATTCATAAAATGAAGATATTTTCTGTAAGAGAGATAAGGTGCAGATTTGGTCAAATTAGGTGCATTCGCCGGATAGCCCGTCGTGAAAACGGCTAATATCTATCTATCATTTCTCCACTGTGGTGTGATCGGCTATACATATATTTGTATAGCTCTTAAACATATTTGCTATATAAGAAGAGAGTGAGACTTTTCTTTAGTGCTGCTGACTCAGCTGAGCTATATTATATGCATGCATGATATGCATGCATGAATTATTTTCGTCGCTTCTATGAATTCATTGCTTGCAACGGCATTGTGAATCGCCTTCAATGCTTACTTTTGTTCCGATTAACTTTAGCTTGGCCATCTTTTCATCAGCATTGAAACTGCAAGCAATAGGTATACGTCGGAACTATGCAACTGTGCATATAGATATAATGGTTATACATACATATATATATATATATATATATATATATATATATATATATATATATATATATATATATATATATATATATATATATATATATATATATATATATATATATATGTATACCTACTATATATAGTACGCGCAGCTTCGGTATACAATAAAGTGTCATGTCCGTTTACCGCTTGCTCGTAAAATTTATTTGTTGGGATTCGAGTCAAACCTTTATTGGCTTTCTTTGAGCAATTAACTATGGAACAAGAGCATAAAAACTGAAGTTTTTGGCCATTGACTGACGCTACAGTTTATATGTGCTGTATGTTCTACAGTTTTAGATATCTATGTAATTTGTCGCATCAGTTTTCCTAATCGATATTGTGTTTCCACCATCATTTTGCCCTATTCATACCATGGTAAAAATAATGTACCATGGTACAAATAAGTTATGCATAACTTATTATTGGTGGCCAATGAGTATCGAAGTACCGACTTTTCCGCGGGTAGCTCACACAGACTTGATTTTTATTTTCTGATAGAGCCCTTGTAGAGGTAGACTCCGTGACCGAAGTCATGTGGTGGCACTTCCAACTATACGCAGCTGCTATTATATACAGACTACAGAGGTCAGCAATCTAGGTCACGTATTCCAACTTCATACCATCGGCAAATTGTAACCCACCCGTGGAGTTCAGGCGCAAAAAATGGCACCGTGCGTCGGACCTAATCTGTTGTGCAGCTTTAGGGCAAGTGACTGATCAGTGACCTTTATCTGACCTCTGTAGGTCACGCGGATAAGAGAGTAAACCTGAAAACTTGGGCACAGACTCTCTCGCCAAGGGCTATTCATTCACCGTCCACTGTCCAGACTAGTTCCAGTCTCCACACTGCACTGTACAGCAGACACAGTGCTGTAAGTAAGGCCGCTGGCTAATGGACCTTATTTGTCTCCCCAGGGTTGAGTGAAGCGGTGGTGCCGTGGTCACCTTTATTCTCTCAGCACTCAGCCAGCTGTCGTAGAAAAACCCCGACAGTTTCCCGGCCAGCCGGTTCAGTCCGGTGTTTTCCAGTTTAGGATGACGTCAAGCACCGATGACGACATGTATTTTCTTCTGTGTGCCGCGGGCCCCCGGGCGTTGGGAAGCACCGCGGCGGTTGTAGCGGCGGCGGCGGCAGAATAATGCAGCGACGCGACGAGCCGCACGTCGAGTGGAGAGGAAATGGTTTGGGCGCGAGATGGAGGGGATTTGATACCTGAGAAAACTGAGGATTGGTTGCCGTCTTGTGGTTGTTGTGTCCCTCCGCCATACGCTAGTGTCACATGCAGCTGAATCGACCACAAGGTAACATTTCTAGTCTCCTAAACGACAGGGACACCTGCAAAATCGGCTGAACGAGTCTGATGCAACGGCTATAAACCGGTCTTGAGGAGTGGCCGACAACACCCGGTAAACTATCAGAAGTGGTAAGTAACGGTATGGGCCATTGGCACAGACAAATGCATGTTTGCATTGCGGCTGCCATTGGAGCTAAAGAAGACGTGATCTATTCTGTATAACTTGACCAAAGCTCATGTCCAAGAGCACAGTGCACAACGGTGGAGAGAAAAGTTATTTCATTCAAATATCTAATATTCGATTGGCTTTATATCTTTCGATCCGTATAGCACAGGCCACACGACTTGTAGCTGGGACAGCGTTCCGCTGGCTCAGACGAGTTATGTATGTCGTTCGATACGCTCAGTCTATTCATATTGGCATTGCCTTACAATACAGTCAACCTAGCGCGGCGCTTTATGCCGTCCGGTACAGTCTACCTAGCGCGGCGTATTGTGCCGTCCGGTGCAGTCTACCTAGCGCGGCGTTTTGTGCCCTCCGGTACAGTCTACCTAGCGCAGCACCTTATGCCGTCCGGTACAGTCTACCTGGCGCGGCGTTTTTTTTAGTCCGAACTTTTTGATAGGAAGGATTCTTAAGAACAGAGCCACGCTAAGTGAAGTTTGTTGTGGTGACCAGAGTTGGCCTACGTTACGTTATTTTGAAGTTTTCGGTAACCCGTAGCTGTCAGTACCGTTTCGTAGCGTAATTGGGATGTTTCGGTAGCGTAGTACGGAAAATAATAGAATAACGTAGGAACTACGAAATGGATTCCGTAGCAATTACAGGTCAGCTGTATTTGTATAAGGTACATAATTTTTTTCAGTTTACTTATATCGTCACCAGACCTCCGGCCGTTTACACGGATGTGAGACGCCTGCTATATGAATACCACTGAGTCTTTCTTCCGGCCGGACCGACACCGGGGATTTCCCACTGGGGAGTCACAGGGAATTCCCTGTCGGAAGTCCAGCGCATCTAGCGAGTAGCGCGTAGGCACCGCCGCACCGACGATGCTGCAAAGCCGGCGATCATTGTGCGTAGTATTTGGCTTACTAGAGAGTAGAGACTAACCGTTTCCACTGGGTAGTGGATGATGACATATTGCATAACGTAGTACGATAAAATAATTTGCTGCGTTAATTAACAAATACCGTAATTCAGTAACGTAGCAATATATAACGTATCGTAATTCGGTATCGTAGTTTTGGAAAAAAAGCAAACGTAGCGTAACGTAGTGCGTAACGTAGCGTAGCGCAGGCCAACTCTGGTGGTGACCCTGCCCTCTACCCTCCGGTTTTGTAATTCCAGTTCTAGTTATGACAGAATTTAGAGCGTACGCACATAGCCGCGCACGGCCGGTTGACCCTCACTGACTTCGCCTGGCTACGGCCTGCCAGCCCACCAACCGCAACCATATCTGTCAGGAGGCCCATAAATGTCCATTGTCCGCGCCCGTCACGCTTCGAGGACTGTTATAATATCACCGGGAACGCGTGCTCTCACCACGCGGAGTCCAACGCCCTACCAATTGAGCTACGGGACCGTCTCCGTTTTGTGCCGTCCGGTACAGTCTACCTAGCGCGGCGTTACGTGCCGTCCGGCACAGCCTACCTAGCGCGGCGTTTCATGCCGTCCGGCACAGCCTACCTAGCGCGGCGTCACGTGCCGTCCGGTGCAGTCTACCTCGCGCGGCGCCCACTGCCCAACAACAAAATTTAAATGCGCCGCAACGTGTACAAAGTAGCAACTGGAGTGTTTGGGAGAAAATTTGAGATAGTCTGCCAAGGATGATAGGTGCTCTCTTATGTTTTACTCTTGCAGCGTCCAATATCGCCCGGCGAGCACAGCCGGGGCCGAATGTGAGTGGCAACCGATAACTTGGTCGGATATTGATTTCTTTCGATGCAGTCATGGGCATAAGCCGAGTAATGTTGAACATATCCTAAACGAGATAGGCATAGTCTCTGTCTCACGACTCCCGTTGTGGCCATTAGGCGCCAGTGCATTGCAGGAAAATCATTTTAAAACCAAAGCCAACGCTCAGCTCGTACTTCCTTGGCGTGTCTGCTGTTTCAAAAGTCGGAGCTCAGGGCCGCCAGGTCGGGGAGATAATAACAGCGCACGACTCCCGCGGTGCGGCATTCATGGCGCGAGGTCAGTCAGCGGGCACGCCCAAGGTGAAACCGTCGAACGGACGGAACCTGCGAGTCATGCAGCTCTGCTGCTGCGGCGTGCCGGCGCGAGCTTTGGGCGGGGCGGCAGGCGCCAGGCGTGGCCGGGCCGGAGGTTGACGGGCACCGCCCAAAGCCGGGAACAAGCCAAGGATCTCTGTGTGCCGCCGTCTCAGCGACGGTCACCGTGCTCGCTCACAGCCGGATCGAGGAGATCGTTAAGTGAGACCGACGAATCTAAATTACGGCGGCTAGTGCATTTTAGCGAGACTGATGAATCTAAATTACGTTGCTAGTGCATCATAAATTATCGAATCGCTGCATCACCGTGATACGGGCGATACATGTAGCATGTCCGTGCCGAGTATCCGGTTAGAGATTGAGCGCAAGACCGCCGGTTAGAACTG